ACTCGTATGAGTTGAAGCAGAGAGATCCAAGCAATGTTGGTGATTCGGGGAATGGCTCTGTTGGTTGCTTCCTTGGCTCCGGTAGCTCATGATGTTTGTCAACTCGGTACAGTCCTTTGCCACGTACTGAAAGCTTTCCCAGCAGCTTCTTGGTTTTCAAAAGGCTAGCAGGATCAGGAAACAAAGACACCCGCCAAGTCACCTTCGCCACGCTGTGAGTACCAGGAGGGAGGAAGGAGGAAGGCATGAAACCGGCGAAAAGCTTGAGATTCGATGGTAGAACGAGGCAAAAACATCTTATTCTATAGTAGGATATGACATAGTGCACGATGATATAAAAGAACATAGCAGGCGATCAGAAAGACAACTTCAGGCCGATCCTCAAGTGTAGTGGCCCGAGGACTCACTGCATCTGCTTCTTCGACTTCCGAGTGATACCGGGGCCTTAATAACTAGGATAGGGTTTAGGGTTTAGGGTTTAGGGTTAGAATGAGGTTTTGGGGTATATTATAGTTTAATTAATCAGGAACCCCCCCAAAATATATAGGTAATTAGTAAGGTGGCTCACATCAGACATATGACAGTACCAAAGCTACTGAGGATCCTTTATACGAAAACATCCTCCTCTGGACTGGCAAAAAGGCGTCGGGTGCAGTTTCACCATCGCTTCGTATGGCAGCTCCTGGCCTTTCGGGGCCAAAAAATGCCCAAAGAACACACAAACGAACGAGCCCAGGCACTGTGTCGGCTACAGAAACCCTATATAAACCCTAAACGAAATCCTATAAAAAAAAACTATAAAAAAACAAGGTGAATGGTGGGCTCAATGTAACCCTACTTCCTCAACGGCCCTCTTTCCTCAAGGCATGGAATGCTCAGGCCTGGGCTCGCGACTGGAGACCCCAAGGCCTAAAGTAGCCCTAGCTATGGCAGATCATCAGAGGGGCGGCGACCAGCGGTTCATTCCAGCTGCTCAAGCCCTGGCTCTGGGCCAAGGCTCAAGGGCAGGATTCTGATTACACCATATAGGGGCCTTAATAAGTAGAATAGGGTTTGGGGGCTCTGATCACACCATATAGGGGCCTTAATATTTAGAATGGGGTTTGGGGGCCCATTATACTATAATTATAATAAGGAGCCCCCGCAAAACAGTACACGTAATTACTGAGGCCCCTCTATTGCCTGTACAAGAGCTCGCCACTTCAGCATGGAGGCCGGTGGTATCACTGCGATTAGTGTTAGGGGCATGGTTGCTGATTTCTCAATTGCTACCGCTTCTTCGGGATTCTTCAGTGCATCTTACCAGCACCACGTGTTCGTTTGGTTGTCTTAGTGGGGTTTAGGGCTTAGGGTTTAGGATTTAGGGTTTAGGAGTGATTTGTGTTTTTTTGGCTGCTGGTGGTTGGAGCAGTCCTTGGAATTGTGACACTCAGGCTTTTGAGGTGTATTTCGTACGGTGAGGTCAACAGACCTGATGATGGTTGCCAAGGCCCCTAGAGCAAGAAACATAAACTCGGAACGGAACCCCGCAGCATTGTTGGGACTCTTTTAGACAGCTTATGCACAGCTCTCAGCCGAATCAATACAAGCACCTCTGCAAACAAAGACGATCCTGAGAGAGTCGCAAAAAAAAACACACAGCTCCCAAAAAATGCACCCACACAAACACGCCAATTGTAGTTGCAAACAGACATCCTCAAAGGCTGGACCCTGAACTTTCACTTCAGAAACCGACAGCATAGTTCTGAAATCCCCCAAGCCCGAAACCCAGAACCATAAAGCGTAAGCCCTCTCAGCCCAAGACTCCGAAGCCATCAAGAAACCCCTTGGCACCTGTAGCGCGCGGAAAGTCTATGTTCTGCATCTCTCACAGATACACCAAGCCTCGCGCGACGATTGATATCAGAGCTGTCCTGCCTCTTCAGCTAGCGTTACTTAGGCAGGTAGCCTTCCAGGAACTTCCTCTTAGCATCGTGTGGTGCACTTTCTTGCCGTGCGAAACGACCGATGACGGCCGGGGACTCAGGGTCTAGGGTTCCGGTGACATGAAGGCCCCGAAATAGCAAAATACTGCCGCAGCCCGCGTCTCAGTAACCTCCGAAAGCCGTGAAACCCAAAGCCTGGCAAGCTTGATACCTGCGAGTTGACCCACACAAACCCTGGAATTCCTAAACCCGAAACCCCAAAATCCCAAACCCGCCCTGCGATTCGCCTGCAGGCATTGGCGCGGTCGTGGTTCCCACCGGGGCCGGTGCTGCTGGTGCTTTGGATGGCTTGCCTGAGGATTTAGGATTCAATACAGAGGCCTTAATCGAATTGAGTTTTGGGATACGGCCGCCATATTAGGAGGTTTCGGTTTGAAGGTTTTGAGTTCCGTTGGAAATATGCATTTACTCAAGAATCAGACTTTCATAGGAGTCCTTACAGCAGCTTTTGCTGGAGAATACGCAATCAGAAGCCCGACAACGAGAGAAAATTGAATTGCTAGGCAATTGCACTGAAAACGAGAACGGATAACAAGCGCACCTTCGAAGAGTGAACAAAGCCAGGCCCGCAACATAAGATAAAAAGCTGCAAAAACTCCAAAAATCAAGCCAGTGTACGTAGGTGTACGTATGTGTATAGATATACGTAGAAATAAATATATATATATATATACATACACACACACACACTTGTTTGATCATTCTTGTATTTAATAAGGCGGTCGCATCTGAAAACATGAAGCAAATTCGATCCCGACCTGGGGTGATTTGCCTTACCAACACCTCATCGGTTTTCTATCAACAAGTCATCATATCATCCAGAACTCAGACGAAGCCTACGACCCAGAAACCCGAATAAGAAAAGATGCTCGGAGCGACAGCGCGAGGGAGAAAGGAAGCGAGGGATCGAGAGTGCGACAGAGCGAGGGAGCGAGGGAGCGACAGAGCGAGAGATGGAGAGAGACTGGTTGCTGCTGCGGCGCTCGTTTTCTCCTGTCGCCGGGCCATAACTTTCTGGAGCTTTCCTTGGTGGCTGCTAAGGTGGTGGTCACACTGTGATCACAACAAGAGTATCGGACAACAAGATGAGGAACTACGATGATGTTTAGGGCTCAGGAAGGATGTAGCCTATGAGTCATTTAGTTCACACGAAATCCGAATGCCTGAACCCTCAATACCCTCCTGTGCGCTCTTGTTGAGACACTTGTCTTAAGCTGGCATGATGAGAAAACCTATATTATTCACCAACTAAGCTCCTTGACAGCCTCAATGAACCCTAAGCCCTAAACCCCAACAAAGCCCTAAGCAGTCATGGACCAGGCTCGGTCTTTCAGGGCGCTGGGCGGGCAAACGTGGCAATGTTGGCAGGCCTTGAGCAGAAGGTGCTTCTTTTCAAGGGCTTCGGGCCTCATCCTGGGCATTAACCACAATTCGAGTAGGGCTTTTTGGGGGGGGGGG